GGTTTCCGTCGGCCGACGGCGCCTCAGCCACACACTCGGGATCAGGCCTGGGTGGTTGCAGTAGTGTCTCGGTCTTGAGCCGCACATGTTTGCCGTGTTGAAGCACCTTGTTGTCTTGATCCACGCACTCCTGCCCGCCATTCTGTGCCGGCTGGATCACGCGAAAGACGAACACCTTTTGGCACTCTGGATCACAGTACTGCAATTCTGGCGGCCACTCGCCCTTGCAGTCGACTGGCGTAGGCTTCATTGTCTCTTCAGGAGGCGGAGTGACGGCTTGACATCGCAGAGAGTCACAAGGGATCTTCTTTACGCTGCCAATCGCCTCGACATCTTTACATTGAACTCCGTAGGGGTTGGCCTCGGCGACCTTGACCAACTCCACCTCCTTCACACACTTGCTTGCTGTCGCTGCCTCGTCCAGGTGACAGACAGCTCGGTCGGTGTTCTTGGACGGCTGCCACGCCAATTTGCAGTCCAAGATTACACAGCCATCAAGCCCTCGGTTTCCGTCGGCCGACGGCGCCTCAGCCACACACTCGGGATCAGGCCTGGGTGGTTGCAGTAGTGTCTCGGTCTTGAGCCGCACATGTTTGCCGTGTTGAAGCACCTTGTTGTCCCGATCCACGCACTCCTGCCCGCCATTCTCTGCCGGCTGGATCACGCGAAAGACGAACATCTTTTGGCACTCTGGGTCACAGTACTGTAATTCTGGCGGCCATTCGCCCTTGCAGTCGACTGGCGCAGGCTTTGAAAATTTCTGGCGAGCACGTCTAGCAGTTGATTGATTTTGTGAAGAACCTTTAGCAGGGGCAGCACTTGGCGGGCTCGGTTGTCGTTCTACCCTCTCCAACGCCTTTGCTGTCTGGCATTTTCCCTCGCCTTTGTCGCATTTGCCTCCCTTGACTTTGACCCTTTGTCCATCCAGGTATTTACAAAGCCTTCCTCCTTTTGCAACAGATCTTACTCGAAAGATCGCATCTAAATCAGAGACACGGTCCCGAGAAATTACATGTTTGACTGCTTTCTTACATTTTTTGCAGTATTCCAAACATTTTGGTCGCTCGAACTCCCCTTTGCAGTCGACTTAACGAACACACCTAAACGAGATCTCGAGTCGATTTCATTGATATTTCATCTGCTGATCACCTGGCTCGATGCATTGTGGGCCGACGAAGCTGTCAAAAGCGAAAAGTTGAATGAACCCCTTGTTGCAATTACAAGACCACTGCGAGCAGTCTTGTAGGAGATCCTTCCCCTTCCCTCCCTTGCACTTGCATGTTCCCGCCCCGACACAGAGAGGGTCGCACGGGTTCACGTCGCTCAATGGCGCTTTGCTGAATGGTCTTTCGGTAGAGCATCTGTTCTGGAGCCCTTTGTAAACTAGGCACTCAGGTTTTCCGTCTACAAGCAAATAAAGAGTAAGACAAATCACACCGTAAGCGTCTTCTTACTTGTATACAAGTAGGGATTCAGGAAGAGACGCCTGTTAGACAAATGGAAGGGGAAGCAAGGTAAGTGGCACATGTATAGCAATTCACCTGGCCAAATCTTCAATCTCATCGCGTGTATAGATTTTGCCTCCCTTAAGTTTCGATCCGTTGCTAACAATCTTGTCATTCTCGTGGTACACCAGGCCTGGATAATGCTCACTCGCTCCTCTTTTTGCCTTGTTCCATATGACTTTGTCATATCTTGAATTGAATGCCGATTGCAAACTCAAAAGGAAAGTCGAAAATTCCTCGGACGTCGAAGTTCGAGAAAAGTTCTCCATGTACTGCTCTCTGTCGAATGCATCTTTCTTCTTGAAGTCCTCAATCATCCTGTCGTACTTCTGTACACTCTCGGCGTCCTTCATATTTCCCTTTTTTCCTTTGATTGCTGCAAGAGAGCCTTTTCCAGTCATTATCGTCAGCGCTGAGAACATCTTGCTTCTTCCGCCTTCTTCGAGGACACTGCCTGAGTTGATATCATCGAGACTCAGCTCGGGGACGTCCTTGGTGGGGATTGCATCGTCATCTTTTCCTTGGCTCTGCTTGCTCGTTTTCTTATCAATCCCCTGTCTCTGACTCATCTCCTGTGCCTTGTTGGTTTTTTTGGCGTGTCCCTGACCTCGCTGAGTTCGGGCTGGCTCACGAGAGATCTGCGGGACACACGCACACGAGACACGAAGGGACGGGACAAAGACGCAAGGAAGGAAACGCGTGTAGAAAACCAGGAACGTCTTGTCTCGCCTATCCCTTCTCACTTCGGTGGCGGAGGGATGCTTCTGTGACGGCGAAGGCTGTCTTGCCCCAGTCGGAGGAGGAGGCTGCTTTTGCCGCACTTGAGGGAAGGCGTGCTCAGCGCGTCTGCGAAGGCTGCTTTGCAATTGTGCAGGATGTGCATGTACATCAACCCGAGCGACGTAAGAGGGCGCGAGGAGGCCGTAGAAGCCGTACGACGGCCAAGCTGGACGATAGGCCACCGTGACGCTTCCATTTGGAAAGAACGGATAGTAGAATAGCGGCGGTTGCCTTGCATTGTACCAAAGGTAGTATGGCGCTGAGGGCCGTGCACCACCGGGTGCCTGAACGGGAAAATCGACGAAGAAGGCCAGAAGAAGCAGCATGGGGCATGATTAATCGTCCCGGAAAACCGTTCCGTTTGCAAGCTCGCATAGGAGAAGACCCCCGCGAACGCATCGCACGCATCGCAACACTGAAGGTCAGTGACGCGAAGGACCAGCTAACGTCGTGTCGCATTGGCGTGCCTGTGTTCTTACAGCGCAGCGCGATACATGGAGACAAGCGCACCACAGGCTGCAATCAGGAGCGATGATGAAGATCCTCGTGCGTCATGGCACGCCCATGGAGATCCCCCCTGCTGTGCACGACGGTGCCCGAGGAGGAGGCTCAGGCCAGGTGCCGTCATCATGTGCCTCGCTGCGTGGCTCTTCGGCATTCGACTGGGCGATGCTTTCCGGCACCCAGTACCGAGGCGAAGGGAAAAGCAAACTGCTGGATCAAAGAGGTCGGGACGGGGCAACGCAACGCAAGCAGCGTCACGAGTGCTAGTGGTTCATGGCATTTCTGTTCTCAGAACCGACTCGAGGTCTCGGCGCTGGCTCAAGATGACTGGCGCTGTCGCAGAGCTTCCATGCGCCACAGCTGAAGAGCAGTCTTTGTCTGCCACATCTTCGTCCTCCAGCGGAAAAAATTGGTCTCCTTCATCCCTTGCTGTCGGCCATGATGATACAGCTGACACACCTGTCTACCAGTGGGAGGACGGCCCTCAGGGGTATTTTCTCCGCAAAGTGCGACGGAAACGAGGGCAGGGAGAGACGCACGAGGATAAGGGGCCTTTTAGGGCTGGCCTCTCCGGCACGGCGACATATCCTTCATCTCAGCTGGATGACCTGAGCATCTCTCTAGACCTGCTGGCTCAAGACCTGGATCCATTCAGCGATGCCACTAGTCTTGTGGCGGCAGCGGAGAAGCCAACGAAGACGCCTTCGTCTCCATCTCTGAGGGAAGCACAGCCGACACCTGACAGAGAGACCGCATTGGCCAACCGGTCAGCCTCCTTGTCTCCCGCCCTCATCGAGCTTCATCACGTGGCCAAGCCGCCCGTCCCCTCCGCCCCCCTGGACGCCCCTCTCGCTCCCCCCTTGTCTGGCCCCATCCGCCCCCCTGCATTCACGCAATCCCTCCCTAAGCTAGGGAGCAGCTCAGCCAAGGGCGAGACTGCAGCTGCGCCGTCGCCACTGACCATCCAGCAACAGCAAACGTCGCTCAAGACGACAACGGACACCCTGAGTGGCGGGGGGCTGGCTGTCGATCTGAGAGACACGGTGCTGCAGGAGGAGCTCAAGGGTCGACTGGGGGCGGTGCTTGGCTTTCCTAGCCCGGATAGTGGGGAGTATGAGGTTGATTTGATCGGCGAGGAGGAGTGGGGCTGGTGGTGGAAGCGCATGGAGAAGAAGGTGGGCAGCTACTTCAGCGACGAACAGGTTGACAAACTCAAAACGGCTCTCAAGGTACGTACAGCACAAGGCTGACAGCTAACACCCACCACAAGCAAACACGGCTCCCTGTTTGTTGTTTTGTGTGTCGATCAGTTTTCTCTGAACGTCCATTATGCGGCCGCCCTGCAGCTCGAGGCTCACCTGGGCTCCTTCACTCCGTTCCCATCTTCTCTCTTTGCAGAGGGCAGCAGTGAGTGGCAGAGCGGCGACGGCCTTCTTGGCTCACAGCTGCAGCGCCTCTCGCCACCTCTCATCCCGCCATGCATGAGAGGCTTCAACAGGACAGCACAGGCCAAGACGCCAGCAGCTGGTCATGTGGGAAAGGGGCTTCTGGCGCCGTGCCCGAGCGGCAGGCCACCGGTGGAGCTGTTCGGGTGGCTGACGGGGCTCGTCGAGAAAGCTTCCTTCCTCGCTGACTTCCGGCAGGATGACACGACCATTATTGCGTCCATACTCAGGAGTACGGTGGAGAACGTGCAGCTCGATATGGACAGGGTAAAGAAGGAGAGAGAGCGCACGGGTGGGGTGGACAGACAGCACAGCACAGCACAGCACATGAATGCATTCTGGCCTTGGCCTGTGCATGCAGATCGAGCGTGTTTTTGGAGTGGCGATGCGTCGTTTGGTGGAGAGCACCCTCCAGCTTGCTGTTTGGCCCAGCTTGTATCAGCAACAAACGGCTGCTGACCTCTCAGCCTTTGCTGCGATGCGGCAGACATCCCCTCTGGCTGCGTCTGAGACGAGCGGAGGCGTCAAGAGTGTCGAGGAAGAGAGCGAGCAGCAGCCGGACGCACTCAAGAAGCTTTGCAAGAGGAGACAAGAGCAGGTACCTCATGGCACCATGACGAGACGAAGGAGCCAGCTCTTTTGACTGGTGGATGTTTCGTTCTGTCTCTGTGATAAACGTCTTTCAGTTGGATACGGTTCAGTGTGGCATGATAGGCTTCAGCGAGGACCCCCGAGCTCTCGTTGTACAAGCTGCTGACTCCCTGTATCAGCTGCAGAACGAAAAGGTCAGCCAGGACACATCAATGCCCTTTGCCAGGAGTCGCTATCGACGGTTTCTCTCCCGTGTGTTCTGTCAGGCCGTCGAGCAGCGGCGTGCTCTTGCGCAGACAATCCTGGACATCTTCTCACCGATGGCGCACACGTTTCTGGGCGTCTACGACCTCAAGTGTGCCCTCGAGGACACCGCCTTTGCCGTGCTCTATCCAGAGGAGTACAAGAGGCTCTCCACAATGGTGCGACGCAAGGAGAGGTTTTTCCAGAAGGTAGACTGACATGAATGATGGAATGCACGAGTCTTCACGCCCCTACATCGTCGGCCGATGGATCAGACATTTGTCGAGACGAAGCGTCACCTAGAGTCCGTCTTAGCTCGCGAGTTGCCCCAGTACGGCGTCAAGTGGTCGATAAGTTGGCGAAGGAAGGGCCTCTATTCGTTGTGGCAGAAGCTGCAGAGAAGACGCAAGCTCATGGGCGAGCAAGGCAGCGGTCTTCGGAATAAGGATGTGGCGCATCCCAGCCACATAGAGGATTTAGTGGCGTTCAGAATTGTCCTCACCCGCAACGATTCATCTGACGCTCACAAGTAAGGCGAAGGCGAGGCCACACTCTAAAAGAGAGTGCACTGGTCCTTCCCTCGACCGTCTGTCTGTCTGTCTGTCCGTGTCAGTGAGATTGCCGTCTCTGACGCATGGCGTCGCGATGGGTCGGCGCTGTGTTATCACGTGCTGGGGCTGGTGCAGAAGCTCGAGGGAAATGAGCCGACCAACGCCACCAAAGAATTCAAAGTAAGTTGCTTGAATGCCACCCCGCACGTCACTGGATGGCATTTGTGCAACGTATTCACCCCGCGCTTTTCAGGCTCTTGATGCTCCTCGCTTATCGTACGACCAGTTCCGCGAGGGACTGCAACGCAACAACATACGATTGCCGGAACAAGAAGTGAGGAGAAACGCCGCGCACCGAGTCCCCCTGGGACGGATCGTCACTGCACTTGTTGCCCTTTTTGTCGTTGGCCAGATTCGTTCACTCCACAGTGGATGGGTGAAGGATTACATCAGTTTCCCCAAGTACAACGGGTATCAGTCACTGCACACCGTCATCAAACGAGAGGGACTGATAGAAGTGCAGGTACGCACGGCAGAGACCAACGAGACGGCACGTGTGAGTGTGCGTCGCACTCACCGACCGGCTTCCTCTGTGCCTTGGGGCAGGTCCGTACCGACTGGATGCATCGAATGGCTGAGCACGGCCCGGCTGCTCACTGGGGCTACAAGACGCTCAGCACAAAGCTCACATCAGACCCGGAGCAACCAATCAACGGCCTTGGCTCCCCCTCCGTCCTCCCTCTCCACTCATACCGTCTTGAGAGCCTCCGCAGATTTGTCAAGGATTGGCGACAGCAGCAACAGCGGCAGCGAGAGACGGGCAAGAAGCCCCCCGGTGTGAAGGACCCGCGCGAGGTTGGCATGGCGAGCTGCTTCAGAGATGTCGGCCACTTCTATGACGCCTTCAAGAAAGAGGTGGGCGACCAGCCTGGCATCACAATGACACCACTCCTCACACTCTGATGTGCTGTCTGTCTGTCTGTGGTTCTTCACTCATTGCGACTATGGTTGCAGTTTTGCAGTAAGCGGGTGTTCTGGTTCGACAAGGACTTCGGGCCGATGAGTTTGCCACAGGGATCCACGGTCGTCGACGCGGCGTGTGACATCCACGACGACGTGATGCTCCACATGACGGGCGCCCTGGTCAACGGACACAGGGTCAAGCCGACCTACGAGCTACAGCACTTCGACCACGTCGAGATCATCACCCACCCCGACGCCATGCCCTCTCCACAGTGGCTCAAGTGCGCCAACAGGCCGTCGACCAAGCGGACGCTGCGAGATTTCTTCAAGAAGGAGGCAGCAACCGAGGGTCGCGTCATGTCTCTGGCCTACCTCGAGAATGACACACTTGGCAGTGCACCGTTCGGCCAGGTGCACTTGGCGGAGGACAGCGACAGCGGCGCGTCTGCCTCGTGGATGCCCCACTGGTCGGACGTGGGTCTGCTGGTCGGCGCCCGCATGCACACAGAGGACCTCAAGGCTCTGGCGCAAGTGAGGGGAGAAGAAGCGACTGAAGAGGCATCCACAGCCACCAATTCGCGGCCTGCCCGCCCACTTGCCAGCGACCACCCCCAGCCCTCTTCTCAGCACGTGTCAGTCATCCAGAGCGACTCCCAGCTGCTGGAGAGCGAGGTGCTCAGGAGCAGAGGGGACGGCAAGAGGAAGAAGGACAGCGAGAGCGATGACAAGGAGAAGAGCCAGCTGGTGGTGGATGCACTCATGCAGGAGCTCATCGCTGCCAAGACTAAGTACGACTCTCTGGAAGATTTTTACGCGGATGCTGCCCAGCGGCTGTGCTCCAACCCGTCATGTAACGTGCTGGGCTGCGAGGCGACACGCAACGACAGCCAGAGCGAGGCTTCTGCTGCGCTTGCGGTGCCCCCCAAGTACTGCACCAAGGAGGTGGATGACACACTTGCGGCCATGTTCAACCTGCAACACCAGGTAGGTACCTACACATACAGATGCCATGGAGGGAGGGACATGCAAGCCATTCATGCTAGCCAAACCTGATGTGCTATGCGATCTCCTCCTGTCCGTGTGTATATGTGTGATGCAGGGAGTCATGACGGTCGTGAATGGCGCGTCTGTGCCGGAGACCTTCCCTCGTGACGTCGGCGACGAGGACCGATTCGTCATCGTTCACCCGCGTGACGCCAGGCTGCCGTTCTGGGAAGGAGGGGACACAGGCGCTGATCCACGCGACGCCGTTCCCCGCTCTGCCAGTGACGTACAAGAGGTGTGGCAAGTGGATGGCTTTCTGGCCGAGACAGCCAAGTCCTTCCGTGACGAGACCTCTGCTGCTCTGAGTGCGGATGCCGGCGCGGCCCAGGACGACGGGGGAGAGGACGGAGAAGCGGCTCCGAAGCTGTCCAAGAAGAGGGCGCAGCGGATACAGCTGGGCCGCTGGCTTGTGCGTGACGCACTGGCGCGGCTGGACACCATCACTGGTCAGAACATCACCGTCACGATGGGCCGGTACATCCGCGCATCGCGACTGCCGGCCGCCACCAGCGAGCTCCTCAAATCCTTCCAACTCGACCTAGCGCGGCGCAGCCTGTCGGCCCTCAACCGGTACCTGGACCAGTTCCCGCAGTGGGTCCGTCACCGGCTGCAGACCATCCCGGGTGGACAGTCGACCGCCAGCATGCCGTCGCCCATCAGCTTTCCGACCCTGCGAGACCTGTTCATCCTTTTCAGGGACGTCCAGTCCCTGCGGCAGAAGGAGGCACAATGGGGAGGCAAGGAGGCGGAGTGTCCGTCGCTAGGGTCCATCATTGAGGGCATCTACGCGCCACTCAGGAGGCCGTCCAAACTCAAGACGGCCAAGGTCTTCACGGCTGCCAACGAGACGGAAACCTCAACCCCAGTCGGTGCCCCTGCCTCACAGCCGGGCGACGCCATTGTGAGGCGGCAGAGGAGACGGAAGGCCCGTCCGCACGGGCTGCTCAAGGACAAGCTGCACCAGGAGCTGGGCCTGAAGAGACACAGCAAGCAGCGGCGGAAGGAGGTGGGCAAGATTGACGTGGGTGTCGACGGCCAGTTGTCGCTGTGGTCCCCCTCCATGGAGATGCAGCAGCAGGACCACCAGCAGGGTGGTCCATTCCCGTCCTCGGCTTCTGTGTACCGGGACGTCACGGGAAGCCGCAGGCAGTTTGTCGAGAAGGCCTTGCAGGAGATCTTCGCCGGCAGTCAGTCCGAGCAGGAGCCGCCGGCCATGACGCGGAAGGAAAAGAGGGTACCAGTGGGCGTCTGATGCCACCGGTCGGTCGTTCGGTCTGTGTTGGTGTGGGCAATACATACACGTGTGCATTGGTACTACTCTGGTGGTTTGGCGGAATGCAGTGGCTGTGGCTGACAGACAGGGATGGGGTGGGGTGGGACGGTCTGGGAAGGGGTCAGTCAGTGAGGCGTATTGATAGGGCGGATAGGGTACACGAGAGAGGACTGATAGATAGATAGATAGACAGACAGATAGACAGACAGTCGGGGGGTCGGGATGGGCTGGGGGCAGTGTGTGTGTATATATACGATTTGGCTTGGCTGGCTCTTGGCTACTGTATAGAGCGCAGGGACGGGACGGACGGACGGGTGGTTGCGCGAGAGGGGCAGGCAGTGTGTGGTGTGTATAGCCCGCGATATTCTTTTTCCGGTAGGTGCGGCGGCGAGAGAGATGAGTTTCACGCGGGGATGGCGGTAAGTCTCGGGTTGCTTGCCCTACTGGGCATTGGATTGGCGGCTAGCTATGTAGGTGGGGTGATGCAGACAGACAGACGTGACACGCAGGCAGACGACGGGCTCTTTTTGCCTTGCAGACATCCCCAGATGATATAGCCGCAAATGGAATTGATACAGACTGGTCGCCTGATGTGCTGATGGATGTGATGACCCAGCGAGTGAGTGTGCGTTGCCTGCAGTGTTTTGATTTGTGGCAGTCAGCAGTGAGTGAGTGAGTGAGTGCCCTGTCGTCCTTCTTTCCTTCTTGCTGCCCGTCGTCCTTCTTTCCTTCTTTCCTTCAATCGATCCCCTTCTTGAATCTCTTCGATGTACTGTACCCCTCCTCGGGGCAGAACCGGCCGCTGGGCGGGTAGATGCAGCTGGCGTTGCAGTGTTGACAACCTGTCTCCCGCCAGCTGCATCTAGCTACCCGCCCAGCGGCCCGTTCTGCCCCGCCTGTGAGGTAAGAACACTAAACGGAGAGACAGTGCTCGCTGCTGCAGCCTGCCCCATGCTGACACAAAAGACACACAGCGAGAGAGAGAGGAGGGGAACTGTGTGTTGTGTGTTGATGCATGTGGTGGCGGGGCTGCCGGCATGGCATTCACACCCGCGGTCGGGTGTGGGTGGCATTGATGCAGCCTGCCCCATGCTGCACAGCACGCAACACACACAAATGGCATGCACACACTCTCTCTCTCTCTCTCTGTGTGTGTGTGTGTGTGTATCCACCAGCCACGTATCCTCACGTGTTGGTTTAAGAGCAGTAGTAGACACCCACCCACCGACCTACTTGACCTCATCCTTACCTTTACCTTTCTTCGGCCTTGCCTCTTTGTCTCGCTCTTCTGTTATGTTTGGCCGTTGCCCATTCACTTGAGTGAGGGAACCATTGATCGCCTTTGGGTTCTGCCTGCCACATCCAATCCACCACACGTCCATCCGTTTGTGTGTACTGATTGATTGATTGATTGCTGGTGCCGTGTCGTGTCGTGTGGGCATGCATGTGCTGCTGCTGGTGGTGCTTTCTTGTTTCATGTGCGCCTTGCGTGTTGCGTGTTGTTTGGTCATCCATCCATCCACCCACGTATCCGTCTGGCCATCGACAGACAGGTCAGTCAGGTCACTTGATGCTTCTTGTGTGGGTAGTCAATGCGAGATGAGTGAGGTCTTGTGTGTCACGGGGTGTGGGCCATATTGGTTGCTGCTTGCCTTGCTGCCAAGGAAGGAAGGAAGGAAGCATGTACATTAATCATCAGGCAGACAGACAAGTCATGGCGGGGAGGGGAGGGAAGGGGAGGGCGGCACGAGAGGGACACAGTTGGGAGGATCCTCACTCAGAGACGGGAACCGCCCAGACCCACCCACCAAATGCAGTGTACAGTTTTACACTGCGGTAGCTTGCTAGAGACGACCTCACTGACTGTCTGCTGTCGTCTGCGTGTGTGGTGGACGACCCCGGGGGCGTCCCCCGAGGCAGCGAGAGGAATGAGTGCGTACCCTCACGGTTTTGGCCATCCATTCATCATCCATCATCACATGACATGACAATGACATGACATGAGTCATCTGGACTAATGCGATTTTGACTTTGATCAGTGGCTGCCACAGCTCTCGGCGACCGATCGTACATATTGTGTGTATGTATGTATGTACTCACTTGCTGCGACAACTTGGCCCACACAGGCTCACAACTCGCTTGCACGGGGGGGGGAGGGGAGAGACTGGGATGGATGGATGGAAGTGAGCGATGCGTAGTGGTCCATCCATTCATATGCGCCGCATCGACTCGACACACAGACACACAGACACACAGATACTCGCTGACTGGTTGGCAGGCAGGCAGGCAGGCAAGCACACCTTTCGCAGCTGGACAGACTGCAAGTGATTGAGGCAGCGGCAGTGAGTGCATCAACCGGATAGGAATGCAGCGAGCATTCTTGTAGATTAGATGGGGTGGAGGGGGCCATCTCATGTGGGTGTGGTGGGTACCTGTCCATCGTACTCCATACGTACATACGTCCATTCATTCCACCTGTGTAACTAACTAACTTGTGTGTTTCTTTGTCTAGCTGCCTGTCTAGCTGTACGAATGCCTGAATGCCAGTCTGTCTGTCTGTGTGTGTGTGTGTGAATGTGAGTGTGTAGTCACGACCGTGACGCATGGCCATGGATGGCGGGCATCCGTCCCTCTCATGCATCGTGCTCACGTCGATACATACATACATACTCACGCCTGGCTGGGGATGGGATGGGATGGGGCGAAGGGGGAGTGGGATGGTCGGTGGCTGGCGTGGGATGGGGCGGGGTGGGTTGATTGTTGGTTGCTGCGGGGTCCGGTGGGTGGTCGATGTCATGTACAGTCGGTCGAGCATGCTATGCTATACAGCACAGCTAGCCACCAGGAGAGGGGAGGGGGGCATGGCATGTGCATCCGTCCGTCCATCAATCTGTTCATGAATGAGACGCCAAGAGAGAAAGACCCACCATGGGATGGACACGCACACGCACAGGCCACCACTGGTCGTCACACGCACACACAGTTCAGCGAGAGTTCGTGTTGTGTACAATAGGGATTTATTTGACTGGTCGCCGTCGATGGTGAGTGAGATGAATGCGTTCCTTCGTTCGTCGGTGTGTGCGTCTCGGCCATCATCGCGTTTGCGTGTGCGCGCCCGATGACTGACTGACTGACAGACTGACATGCGTGTGGACAGATGGATGTCGACGTGAGGTGAAATGCATGCCTCCCCATTGAGATTGAGAAAGCCGTTCACTCAACCATGCCCATCCTCGCCATGATGTGATGCATCAATCACTCAGCATAGCATGCACACACTGCAGTCAGATATGCAATGCAATCAGTGTGGTATTCAGTCAGTCCTCAGCCCAGCCTGGGGGGGCCGGGCCATCATTAAAACGATCGGCCGATACATACCCAGACACATCAATCGCACATGGCCACACCCGCACCGCAACGAGGATGCCAAGGCAACTAACCACCCACTCACGCACCAGCACATACCATACACCCAACCCATCAGTCAGCAGAAGCCTCCAATCAGTAGCAGGCAGCTGCCGAGCTCCACGGCTGTGGATGTGTGCCGACCGAATCACCTCCGCCCACGACGGACCGATCGTGAAGACGAGCTGCACACACACACAGACGCTTACAGCACACTCACTCTGCTTGTGCCCTCTCTGTCCACCCACGTGTGTAGGTACGCACCTTCTGGAGTCCGAGCTGCTCGAGCCGGAGCTGCTGCTGGACGACGGACTGCGGCCGCGACGGCCAGCACCCCTGACAGATAGATGACACACATACATATCCAGCCCGATAGCTTCCCATTTCACTGTGCTCACCGTCTGGGTGGCGTGCCTCTGCGTCGAGGACCGCGGCCAGGACTGTCCGATGGGCTGCGATCTCTGCAGCCAGGCGACACCAGACACACACACACACACACAGAGCGAGAGAGAGCATTGCTGCTAGCCGTCGGTCGGCCTTGGTGTGTGCACGTGCTTAGCATACCTCCGTCGGTTGGGTGGCGGCCGCCGGGGAGAGCGGGACCGCACAGGGGACCTGACATCAACACAACAACACAACACGATCACAGACAGTAATGTAACATACACACATCGTAGAGATAGATGGGCCTCAGCTGATGTTGTGACTTAACGTACCGTCTCCGCTGTGGTGGCGGCGACCTCTCCCTCCGCCTGGGTGGCGACCGGTCCCGATCCCTCTCGTCCCGCCCCCTCCCCCGCCCGCGGTCTCGATCTGCCAGCCGCCCGCGGTCCCTCTCCTCATCCTTCTTGTCCTCCCTCTCAACACCACGGCCCTTGGTCGTACTGGGCGACACACCTTTGTCACCCTCCTTGGTGTCCACTTCCATCGGTTTGGTCCCGGTCCCATTGGTGGACACCTCGGGCGCCTGTTGCTGCTGTTGCTTGCTGGATGGCGGGTGCTCCTTGGAGGCGGCATGTCTGGGGGACGTCTGGCCGGCGGGCAGCAGGATGAACTCGACCTTGATGGGATTGCCGTCTATCTGACCCTGAGCCATACCATACATGTCACGACACACACACACACACACACATGCAGGGAGATGGATAGCTCGATGTGTGTGACATGGTCTGGTCACTGACTGACCCCGTTGAGCATGTCTTTGGCCTCGAGTGCGGCGTCTCGCTTGTCAAACTCCACGTACGCATATCCCTTGGGAAGGTCCACCTGCACGCACACACACAGCCACCAGCCAAGCCAGATCAGCCAGCCACATGCGCCATCATCGTTCGTCCTTCACGCCGACAAATGCATGTGTTGTGCGTGTGGCCGATGGCGCACCTGTTTGTCAACAGCGATAGTGACGTTCTTGATGTCGCCGTAGTTGCCGAATATCTCCTTGAGGTGCTCATCGTTGACGTTGCGCGAGAGGTTGCTCACGTTCAGAATCGTGTCATTGGTCGCTCCATCCCTCTCCTTGCCACGCTGCTCACGCGACGACATGGCAAGAACCGTTTCTTTTCCCTCCTCCTCGTCCCCTCACCACAAGGTCGTCGTACGTATTGCCGACGACGAGGTGCGCCCGAGGCGGCGGCTTACCCAATAATACAACTCATAGCTCAATCGCGAGCTGGAAACAGTTGGCAGAAAAACCCTAAAAACCCGAGGGATCGACCTGCAGCTCGCACAGACTGCGGCGCCCCCCTGCGCGAGGAGAGTTCATGTGTGAGAATGACAGCGAGTTCATGTCTGAGCGTGAACATCCGACAGCGAGTTTTTGTCTGAGCATGAACATCCAAAAGCGAAGCGTTCCCACCGCCAAACAGCTTTTATGCACGTGTGTGGGTTATCAGGGAGCTCGGAGTTTGCTAATTGAGAGCGGGAACATAGAAGGCAACGAAAGAAGGCCACATCTGAATGTTTCGTGCATTTGCGTCCGTGTGGAAGGTTGTGTTGTGTACACAGGCACGTGCTTCCAACAGCGTTGCTTCTGACGTTGCTTCTGGCGAGGTGACGCGTCCATCCATCGGTCGACGCGTATTCATTGCGGTGCTGTGTGTATGTGGTGCAGGTGGCGTTGAGCTATGTGTGGCGTTGAGCTATATGCTGCTCTGGACACTCAGGCACTCGACGCGTATTCATTGCGGTGCTGTGTGTATGTGGCGCCGGTGGCGTTGAGCTATGTGTGGCGTTGAGCTACTATGCTGTTGTGTGTGTCCAGGCGATGTGTTGTCGTTCGTGTTGGAGGCCTGAGCTGTCCGACTATCTATCGATGCGCTGAGCTGTTAGAAGACGGTGCCTGAGGTGTCCGACTATCTATCGATGCGCTGAGCTGTCAATCTATCGATGCGAGTGTTCCGTCCCTCCGAACGGACACGCACACGTCAATCTGAGCTGTCAATCTATCGATGTGAGTGGTCCATCCCTGCCAGCCCACACAACCCACACGCACACTCACCCCCCACGTCAGCGCCCCATGCCAGTAAAAAAACAGTCTGTCTCTCGCTCTCTTCTCGAGTCACACATACGCACACGCATCCCGCACGTCAGCCCCTACGCTAAAAAGAACACATACGTGCACACGCACATGCATTACTAGAAAACAGAGTGTCTGTTATTCTCTTCACATAGAGGCACGCACACGTATCCCGCACGTCAGCCCGCACGCTAACTGAGCCTTTGTCACTCTTTGCTCGAGTCAAGCAACCCACTGCCCATGACAAAAAAACACACATACGTGCACACGCACACGCAGCCTCCCACGCCACCAGAAAACAGAGTGTCTCTCGCTCTCTTCACATACAGGCACGCGCACGCATACCCCTCTATGCTAGATCTATGAAAGATTTCACAGAGGGCCGCTACCAGCGATAGAGGCAGTTTTGTATAGGAGTCCAGCACGTCTTGCCAGGTTTGAAACGGACCTTTCAGCTGCTTGATATATGTACTTATTGTCTATTGTATGAACTTATTGGTTATTGCAATTCCTCCTGAGCATGTATGTCTCCCCAATCCTCCTCAACGCCGACAACTATTGATGACTGTATCTCATCATGCATGCATGAGTGAGAGGGTCCACAACCATATCGTCTCTCATTCCGATACCTCAGATCGACCGATCTTGTTTTTTTCTAGACGGGCTAGTACGAGGCAGCGAATATTTTTTCTTGTTGCGCGACTCAACTTTGTCAGCCGCTCAATCTCGATCGTGAGAGTGGTCGAAAATTTCTCCTTCAGTCTTGCCTCGAATATCGCCGGAGGATGCCCAAGCCGTCGCCGTCGGTCACCCGTGAGAACGCCACAAGCTGGCTCAGACAAATGTTTGTGTTGCTGACCCATACGGCTGGCCTCAGATCGATAATCAGGCGCTCTTTCGTCGTAGACTGCAGCTTTCAGAAAGTCAATGCGCTGGCGCTGATTATCGGCAGCTGCGTTCGTCGGAGGTTATATTTATGCTTCGGAATCAGCTTCTCCTCGTCTGGTGACGCGGGAATTCGCGACGGTATCTCAATAGTGAAGGTGTCGGTGTGAGGAAAGACCGGCGTGAGAGGCTTTCCGGACGGCGACAACGGCACGCCGTCGATAGGAGTGTGGTCCGCCTTCTCCACGTCCATGAAGACGTACAGCGGTAGCTCGGTCGCGACAATGATGTCGACCGGCCGATCGGACACTGTTGCTGTGTGCTTAGAGAAGAAGGCGGAGGGGCTGAAAGCGGCCAAGTGGAAGGTCGCCTGGCTTCCATTGTTGATGTGCAACTCTGTCGCATCATTGCAGGTGAGTAAGTACTGCTGGTCTCGGATGAGGGCCAAAATCTGCGGCATGTTGCCGGTCTTGATCTTAGAAATCATGGACAGATGCCTGTGGAGCTCTCGAGACGGCCGTTTTTCCTGGCTGCGTTCAGTGATGTCCATATCGTCGGCCACGCACAAAAGAATCGGCTTGTGTTCTTTGTCGGCGGCACAGAGGGCATTGATCATCGCCAAAGGGATCCGCAGCTCGGCCCCCCACACGCCAATAGGCGCGGTCTGCCATTTAGGGTCGGTCATGTCAATGGCGCTCCCAGGCCCGCCAATGACGCGTGTCTCCAGCCATCGATAGTCTTCTTCAGTGAGCCTCTCATTGCGGAACCGCTCGAGGAACGCCTGATACCTGCGGCCGCTCTCCGTCTGCTTGAATCGCATGCCATCCTCCAGAAGCACGACGGTATCGAACAGGGTCTTGTACAGCCGCATACCTGCAAGATATCACCATGTCTCCTCTGTCCCTGCTCTGTGCAATGCAGTGCGTTCTATTATCGGAAGGCTTCGTCGTCTTTGCGTACAGCGCCGTCCTACCAATGGGCCCAAACTGTTTGACGTCTCCGGACAAGAGAATGCTCATGTTCCCAAACGGAGGCTGGTGCTTGGCATGCTGCTCTTCGGTGGCCCGCAGCTCACGCAGGCGAGCGTTCATCTTTTCGAACAAGCTGGCGTACAGCATCGAGTACTCGTCCACTAACAGATACCACGTCTGCTGCCATAGGACCTGAAATGACAGCTCCTTCCGCATGTCGTCAGTGATAGCACTCCCTCAACCGCGGCGGCGGTGCTCCTGCCTGTTTCTGGCTTTGTAGACCTCTATTTGGAGGGCCGAGTGTAGGGTCGAGCCTGAAATAGTAGAGGCAGCCACACCTGAGACAGGCAATCAGCACAAAGCGCAGATACGCAGCTCGAGGTCGGAGAAATCAAACCAAGAGCGAATAGAATCAGTTCGGTATACCGGTCATCGTAGTCTTTCGAAGGCAGAACGGTCGCCCGATACCAGCGAAATACAGGGCCAGAGCCTGCATCACCCACGACTTGCCGCATCCGGGGCCGCCTGCAACTACCATGTTGAGTGGCGATACCACAGCAAAGTCGCTGCGGTCCAAGGCGTCAAAGTTCTCATTCACATGCTTGGCGATGACACGAACGACCCGCTCCTATTCGGAATTGAGCGTGAACTTTTCAATAGCCAACTTCGCTACTCTCAGACGGTCGTCATCTGTCATGGCCTTAAACTGCATCGATTGAAGCCACCGTGTATACTCTAGCGCTCCCGCTGCACTGCTGTCGCCCGCCTCACACATCGCAAGCAGCTCCGCGTCTGACATTACTTGGATGCTCCGTCGTTCGGGCATGCCACCGGTATCGCGCGCTGCATGTACTGCGGCGGGCATGTCATCATCGACGTCCATCTCTTCCGCGCCTTCTCCCGGCCTCGACGCAGCGACGTCCGGCTGACCGCTCCTTCGTCGCTGCAGCATTCTTTAGAGGGTCTTCTGCATAGTCTTCATTGCTGCCGGGTCCTGGTTTCTTGCGACAATATCAGTCACTCTGGCATCCTGCAAAGAGACATATGCATATGTATCGGAGGGTTTTTTTTTTTTTGCATTAGTTCTGACTTGAGATGGCATATTGAGCGTGGCAGATGTGGACGGCTCATCGATTTGGACCTTCAGCTGTGGTGTAGTCAGGCCGAAGCGCTTGCAGACGGCGTCCATGCCCTCTCTCACGTATTTCTGGCGGTCGGCGAGGAAACGTCCGGAGACCGACAGACTCTACTTAACACCCGCTATGGGATCCAGCTTCTCAAACAGCTCCGCATCCGATGACCTTGCAGGGCTTGTCAGCTTGTCCACCATCACCTGCGCCTCCTTCAGCAGTGCCTGGCGAGCATCGTCCTCTTCGCGAAGTGCCTCGTCCATCTGGTCCAGCAAGTCTCGCGCGTCGAACGTTGCACTCTGCTCATCCTGCTCACGCCGAAACGCTGTATCGATCTTCGCATCGGCCTGCGTGCGGTGAGCGCCTTTAATGTTGTCGATCAGTTCCACTATCCACCGCGCCACGGGGTCGTCGATGGATGTGTCTGCCGCTCGCTGCCAATGCCACGTCTCGAACTCGTCCAGCGCCTCCTGCCACGTTCGATACGAGCCTTTCAGCTGCTTCAATAAATTAAAGCCGGTCCAGGTGGGTCTCTTGGTGCATCTTGCATTCACAGAAACGTTGGATCGTGGTGAGTGCCCTTCAAAGCCACACTTCGAGTCAAATGAGACATCACCATCGACCGACAGCCGCGACTCTACGTCGACATATGCAGCAGTATAGCTGCGGTCCTTGTTTTGCAGCCATTCATCCAGGTCAAAGTCGAGCTCACAGGGCCGTTCCTGAGAGCTGCTGCCTACAAAGGGCTTCAGCAGGAGCAGCAGCTTCTTGGCGCGGTCCTCGATGGCCCCCGGCTGCTTTGAGTAGCAGCTCGGAATGGCCATACTCAGAGGGGGCACGGCCGACTTATCCACATCCCTCTGAGTACACACATGCAAATACAGAGACACGGACTTTCGCGCCAAATCCTAAGAGTCCACCGGCTCATACATACCTGTCGCAGCTGGCATTTAGTGTGAAGTGGATGCTGCGCTGTAAAGTAGAGGGCCCTGTCCTTCTCAGCCAGCAACTCAGCGGCATCGGCAGCGTGAGAGCAGACCGAGGAGGGGCACATGTTGCTCGCCTCCGTGCTCTTATATTTGCGGAAGAACAGCTCGTGAAACAGGTAGACGGGGACTGAAGCCATTGGCAGCTTCACTGGGTCGCCTTCTCTGGTACACATGACGTCGGGAGGGACTCCAATCTCCACTTCCTCGGTCATTCGAAATAGATAGTCCTGCGCCTTGCTAGACAGGACCGTCGACGGCTGTCCATCGGCTCGGTGGACACGCATGAGCACCGTCTTGTCGTTCTCTTCATCCTCGCTCACATCGTCCTCTGTGACCCCCCCTGCCGCTCCTCGGCCGCCAAGAGCTTAAGGAAAGGGAGCGAGGGAAGGGGGTAGGTGAGATGAGACATATAATAGTCTCCATCATCTCCATAGCCCAGCAGGTGCCACATGACCTGACACGCAGACATCTGGACGCGGGCGTTGAAAGAGTTGGTTATGCCGGTGATAAACAGGCGATGCTGCTTGATGGCCTCCTCCGTATTTGCATAGCGCTCGAGGTACTTCTTGCAGCCCACTGCGACGATCGACACCAAGTCGTGCAGCTTGATATCCATCTTGGAGCTGTAGTTGGTGAGCTGCAGACAACACATATGGAGACATGGCCTCAGGCAGACAAAGTGAGTAGGCTCGCAGTCCGTGACTTACATAGTGCACCAACGCATACACCCGATCCGCAGTCAGGAGCAGGAACTTCATGTCATTGTTCGACCGAATGGCGACCGTGACATATGGAGAGTGGCCGGTCGTCCAGCGGTGGTGGCGACGGAGGCGAATGATGTCGCACTTGGTGATGGTGATGGTCATGTGGATCATCTTCTTTGGCATGCTCAAGCGGTACGGGATCAGGGCGCTCAGTTTGTTGGCCTCTTCCTTTAGATTGAGTGCGTCTCAACGAAGCGCATCGTTGTTTGCCGTCTCGCCCTTCGCCAGGTCCCGCAGTCGGCTGTTGTAGTCACCCATAAGCCTCTTAATCTTGCGCATCACCTGCTGCCACTTGAACTTGTTGCTCTTCTTGATGCACGACATGGTGTGCTTCTTGGAATGCAGCAGGCTGCGACACGCGACGGCCATGAACTGGCGGCTGAACTGGAGGTTGAGGTACCCGCTGTTTTTGCTGTCGGCCAAAAAGATGCGCCCAATGAATGTGCCCGGATCCACATACTCCCTCGACTGCTCGACGTCCAGCCACGGGTCAACATCCATAGTGCTGTTATCGCTGGTCTCGTGGCCGGGGTAGTACAGCTTTATAACCAGCTGCTTCTTCTGTGTTGTTGTGAGCGGTTCGAAGAGCCGTTTTGGGTCCGGATCGCTGAAAAAAGCGTTCTCCGCCTCGGCAGCCTTGGGAGCTACCTTTGAAAACCCAAACAAGTCCTCAGCGTCTCTCGCCCCTCCATCGTCGTCCTCTATGACGTTCTCGTTATCGGCCGGCCCCACAAACTCGTCTATGGTCTCGGACGGGGCGAACGATGTGAGGCACAAGCTTACACTACCACCGGATTTCACGCTGAGGGGCTCCTCGTTATCGTCCGACTCCAACGGGAGAGCCCAAAATCCATCATCGCCCTCCACAGACACCTAATCATCCATGCTTTGCATGTCGTCCTCCACATGCAGAGAGGACACAGGGGCCTTTTTGGCAGCATCGAGGAGACGCTCGACTGCCTCGAAGTGCATTTGAGAGCCGAGCGATATGCGGTCATACCACGGCGACTCCACGTCCAGCACCGCATGCTGCTCGTCCGTCAGCTTCGCATGAAGCTCAAACTCATGCACGTCCTCGTGAATGGTGAAGTCCAGCCACTACTTCAGCTTGTGACAGAACTGTCGATCAGTCATCTTCTTCCGTAGCTCCCGTGGGTAGGGCGCCCCTTCGAGGAAGTCCAGGTGGTGAAAGTGAAGGATCCCGCGCCCCTGGCTCTCTGAAGGGCCGATCGACACCTTGCACTTACCGCTGACACCAGGCCTGGGGTCCAGAGGGCGCCGCAACAGACACGCGAGGAATGCCCGCACGCAGATGTTGAACATCTCTGCAGCCGCCGCCGGGTTGCCAGCCGCCATCTGGCGGCAGCGCTGGATGTGTTTGTTGAGAGGTGGGCACTCGTTCAAGTCGAACACCTGCTCCTTGCTGAGCACACCTAAGTGCAAGAGAAGCGTACTCTCGAGGTCGTAGAAGTTTTGCGTCGAGAAGAGTACCGGCACGCCGAACCGTACAATGTAGGAGAGGATCTGCTGGCGAGCATACTTTGGCGCCGAGCGAGCCCGGGACCCCACGCGAGACCCCCTTCACCTGTCAAGACGACCACACAGAATACAGACAGTTCTCACATGAATCCTAAGTTTCCCTTTTTAAGCTTCTCACATCGGTCATCCACGCCTGAAAGTCTGCGTCTTTCAAAGTGTAGGGCAGGTTGATTGTCGCCAGTTGCTGCGCTCGTTCCATCCATTCCTCGAGACTGGCAGGATGGATGTGCGAAAGCAGCCCACGCCGTGCCGGCTGCCGGATGCGCAGCGAGGCCGCTCGATTGATCTCCTGCCGCTGAAGTATGTTGAAGACCAGAAACTTGAAAATCTTGTGCTCGCGCACGTCAGGCTTTCACTGCTGCAGCAGCCACTTGATATGCTCTTTGAAAGACACGCGCTGGCTGCCTCTACAATGCCCCCCTCCCGGCGCACCCCGGCCGAACGGAAACAAGTCGAGAAAGCAGTCGACAAAGAAGTCGGGTTCTTGTACCCGCTGAGGAGGCCGTTGATGTGGTAGTTAGCAGGAATGAACAGGTTCCTCTTTTTTCCTGTATCAACAGATATTCCGATACCATGAGTCAACCGACCTGCCAGTTTTTTATTGTCTCTCTGTCTCTATCTGTTTTCATACCTAGCGATGTCGCCGTGAACTCATCACGCTGTGCCGTTCCTGAGGCTGGCGGCGGCTCGTGAAACACTGACAGTGCTCAGCGCGTCGTCCATTGAGCAGCGATCACCGTCTTCTTCCCACTCTTGACGTCCCCCAAACCGTGTGAAGTGCTGCATAGCGTGGCGAGCCCGCTCCGATACCGGCAGATCGTCGCCCTTTTTGAAGATCATCGCAGAGGTCGTCACACAGACCTCCTTGCGATCGTCCATCGACACACCGTACATGTCTCTGTGTCGCCGATCGATGGTGTCGTCCTGCTCGAGGTTCTCTTCGAAGAGGTCCGACTCCTCCGCAAACTCCAACCACAGCCTGGGCACCTCTGCATATGAGGCGGCATCCCCACTAGATACCCGCGGCTCTGGCAGCTTGATCACGCACTTGGGGTCGACCCACACCTCGTCCTCAGCATACCGATAGCAATTCCTCTGCAGAAACTCCATCAACAGCGTTATCTTGCTCCCGTCAACACCCAGCATCTGCCGGGCGTGTTTTTTAATGAATTTAAAGTCCGCTTTCTCGTTCTGGCATATGTAGACAATACGTATGTAGCGACTCATCTGATCAACGTCGCGAGGCAGGATTGCCTGGATCTCATAGTGCAGCCGGTCGACGTCTTGCGGGACGACAAACACAGTCCCAAACACAGCCAACTGGCGGTCTGCATCCGAGACGACGCCACTACCGTCCCCCGCAGGGTACAGCTTGTAGATGCAGTGAAAGGGGATAGCCTTCGACACCAGCAGCAGCTCACCCTCGGTCCGCTCGCTCACGATCTTGACCTTTTTGCAGTCCATCGGGCCGCGCCACAGACCGTTAGCCAAACTGAGCCGAGGGCATGTCTTCACTCTCGGCCGCGTCAAGTGGCACATGCATTCGATGCAGATGGTGACCGTCTTGTCTTCCCATCGGATGGCGGCCACTTGCAGTGGCGCCCCGTCAAACTTGGCCATTACCGGGTGATCGGGATACCACTCGGAGTAGCTGAGCGCCCTCACACATAGCGCGTCTCGGGGATTCGCCGGATCAGGGCGGTCCTCGTCGCGGAACTGCAGGAGGTGCGTAAAGTTGGCGAGCGCTTGCAGGTCGATGCGCCTGACTTTGTCGGAAGAAATCTCGTTCAGCGTATCCAGTATGAACTGGGCTCGGTCACGACGTTCCTTCTCACGCTGAGCAGCCATAGTGTCTTCCAGCCTGAGACGCTTATATCGCTGCCACTGCTGCTCAGCCTCGTCTATGCACCGGCGCAAATCCGATTCGCCCAAGCATTTGCCCCCTTCACTGAAGGTGCAGCGGAAGGCGCGACTGCACACCACACACGGGTGCTTGACGTGACGGTAGTGGGCGGTGACTTCAGCGTACTGGTTGACACATCTACACAGCACCACACAGAGAGCGACACAACCTGTTTCCCACCATGCCAGCAGTTCCTCATTCATTGAACACTCACATGCAGCCGTTGTCATGGGCGTACACCCATGGTGGGAACTGAGCATGTTCCTCGCTCTCTCCGGCCTGCACAGTGTCGCGACTTCCCGTGGAGGGCTCAGAGGGGGAGACTCTAAGCGTAGTGGCTCCCCACACCTCACCACCTTACACCCCCTTCCCGACGTCCGGTTCCAGCCCTGCATCCCAGATTGCGCCCTTGTCCCACAGAAAAGACCCCCACGGGAAGCGGTCGATGAACTCTTGACGCACTCTGTTGTTCTCCTTCATCTGCGCCAGGCGTTTGATGACGCCCTCCTGACACTCCCGCTTTCTGGCCTCTGTCGCGGTCTCCTGCTGCTTCTCCCACCCCTTCTTTGCTGCCCGAGACTGCCGCTCCCGCAGCTCCTCTCGAGTGAACCCCCTCTCTTGAGCGTCGCTCCGCCGGGTCTCCCACCCTGCCTTGGCGGCGGCAGAGTGGTGGATCCGCTGCTCTCGCTGCTCCGCTTCAGTGAGAGTCACGTGTTGCGCGTTGTTCCGCCGGGTCTCCCATACTGCCTTGGCAGCGGCGGAGCGGCGAGCCCGCAGCTCATCCTCAGTGACTCCCGCCCGTTGCGCGTTTTCTCGCCGAGTCTTCCAGCCACGCCGTCCCTCCTCGCTGATTGCCGGCTGTCCTATCTGCTGGCGCCGACGCTCATGTGCGGCCGCATTCGAAGCCAAGCGAGTCGCACTCTTCCTTCGCTTCCTGGCCCCGTCGACAGGCAGGCTGACCGACCGCTCAGTTTGCATAGCTCTGTCGCTTAAAAGATACCTGCAATCAAATGCTCTCAAATTACGCGAAAATGAAAGAGATCCGGAAACCCCAGGAGAGCTCGCGGTGTTAGGGCATAATTCGTGAAACACTGATTTGGATTTAGGGCCAGTAATGAATCCTTTCGCGTCATGAACTAGCGGCTTTGAATGAGATTTGAATGAGAAAGAGAACAGTGGTGGATCCTCTCATTTCTGCATGATGACATACACATCAATATATGTGAGCACCTCTATCCTGTGAAAGCCACAGTGACAACGGTGAATTATGCAGAGACGCAGGATTGTTTGTCAGGGCATCGCGTATCAGTTGACTGTACGTTCACATCGAAGCACACACATAATAAGGACACGCTGTTTAATATCATGACGGTCACACGAGGCCCTGTATGGACTGCAGTTGCCTATGAAAGCCATAGTGACAACGGCGAATTACACAGAGACGCAGGATTGTTTGTCAGGGCATCGCGTACCAGTTGACTGTACGTTCACATCGAAGCACACACATAATAAAGACACGCTGTTTAATATTATGACGGTCACACGAGGCCCTGTATGGACTGCAGTTGCCTATGAAAGCCATAGTGACAACGGCGTATTACGCAGAGACGCAGGATTGTTTGTCAGGGCATCGCGTACTAGTCGACTGTACGTTCACATCGAAGAATACACATAATAAGGACACGCTGTTTAATATTATGACCGTCACACGAGGCCCTGTATGGACTGCAGTTGCCTATGAAAGCCGTAGTGATAACGGCGAATTACGCAGAGACGCAGGATTCTTTGTCAGGGCAACGCGAACCAGTCGATTGTATCTTCACACCAGCACCTTGGAAAATTAGGACAGGCTGTTGACTACCACTACCGTCACACGAGGCCGCCGCATGGGCCGTGCGTGGCTTGTAAAAGCTATAGTGACAACCGTAAATAATCACGAATGGGGCCGGTAGCAAATCGTTTTGCGAGGCGAACTCGCTTTGAGGCCTTGAAATGAGAGAAAGAACAGTGCTGAACCTTTAATATATGCATGATAATATATACTCATCAACAGTTGTCGGCACCAAAAGTAGTTCCCACCTAACCACCATGCATTGCATGCATTGCTAAGGCGACCAGCCCCGTAGCCAGCTGCCAGGCTTATAACCTGGGAATAGCCTGGGCTGGCAGCTGCACTGTCTCTCGCTCTGTTATCGAGTCACCTAGTGTAAAAAAAAAACTGAGCCTCTGTCGCTTTCTGCTCGAGACACACATACATGAACACGCACCGTCCGCCACTCACCAATCTAGACACGCACTCTTCCACGGCACTAGAAAACAGAGTGTCTCGGTTGGGCAGCGGTGCGCGTGTGTATGTCTGTGTGTGTAGAATTCAATCATGGACCACCTCTCTTAGCTGAGAGGAGCTGCTGAGAGAGTTGGGGAGAGTGATGTGTCGACACAGACTTGGGGTGCGTGTTCTGTGTGGTTCATTCAGTGTCCAGAGACATCTCGTGAGTAACTCATTCATAATCGATAACGCGAAGCACTCACGTTCACCCAAGTCACTCTCGCGTCGACCACACACTCAGACACCGTCTCCGTCCTTTCACACAGCAGCAAACCAGCCGCTCGGGTAAGTCCTCCTTTCTTGTGTGGCCTTTCTTTCCCTCTGCCCAATAATGAGAAAACAGAAAGCAACGAAAACGACCAAGGAGCGAGCAGCCGCCAAATGATTCCATCCAGCAGAGTGCGTGGGTCTCTGACAGCCTGAAGGTGAGGTTGCAGTTAGTGCCCATCCACAAGTGCTGTCGAACATACTAAACACGAAACACACACCCACTTTGGCCGGGCTGGCGGTCAAAGAGTACAGCAGCCAGCACGTACGGGTACCTCGTGTGGTATCGGCTGTGTCCGCAAATCTGCCTGCCTGCCTGCCTGCCTGCCAGTCACCGACCACACGAGACACAGATCAGGTAGAAGGTACACACCATGGGCAGGCACACGTACGTATGCAGTAGAAGGAAGTCTGTTACAAATAGCAGTCATGGTGTAAGTCCGCATGGAAACAAACCTGCACACACATGGAAACAACCAGCGCCCTGCCCTTACGCACCCGTCGATCTACCGTTCTTATCCAGGCATTATTCCACGCTTGGAACCGTGGAACGTTACTCAAGCAGACGGCCCTACCTCAATCAAACCGACCAGCGACGAAAAACAGCGGCGGAAAGAGCAGTGCTCCTGCACAGTGTCGGAGTAGGAGAGAGGGGTCGACTCCAGATCAGAAGAGACAGTGTGTGCTCATGTGTGTGCCTGAGTGAGTGGGTGGGTAACTGGGTGCCCACCGTGTCGCGGGCCGCTCAGCCAAACCGCCGGATGACAGAAGGAAGCCAAGCCTGTAGATGAACAATAAAAGGTGGACCAACAATGTGAAGCTAGTCAGTTAGTCAGTCAGTCAGTCAGTCCCCGCGGATGCACCGGGTCGCCCTTCCTTTGTGTGTTCGTGGTGCGCAATAATGTGTGTCTTGGCGGTCGGGTGAGGTGTGGTGTGGTGTGGAGCGGGCCGCATCCAAAACCGCCAAAGCAGGAGAGAGAGGGGCAGTGAGTGAGTCTGTGGATGCCTGCAGTAAGTAAGGTAAGCCCATACATCCATATACAGCACATGGTGAGTGGAGTGAGTAAGTCGAATGAATCAAACGTGGACCAAAAATACAATAAATACGCAGTCAGTCAGTAGTAGCAAGTCGACATGGATGCACACACACATCTCACGCACTGCACCCACCCGCACTCACCCAGGCCCCTGACCGACACCATCCATCCATCCACCCACCCTCCACCAACCGACCTCCCGCCCCCGACAAGCACCACCACCACCACCACCACCACCACCAACCGATTGTTTCGGTCAACGAGAACACCGCCGACGCACATAAGAAGTAGACAGACGGGGAGTTGACAGCGACACACCACACCCACGCACACGAACGAAAAGGGAGTGTCCGCACCATACGGAAGGACGAAAAGAAAAGGAGAAAGCAGCGTCCGCACCATACGGAAGGACGAAAAGAAAAGGAGAAAACAGCATAGTCACCACCATACGGAGGGACAAAAAGAATAGGCCGAGTAGGGCTGATGACTCAAAAGCAATACAATACACTAATTCAGTACCGTACATCCATACCATAGACAAAAACAAAAAACAGCCCTCCTCTCCCGTCTGTCTAAGTATGGGTGCGTGGGGCCTCCTCTCGTGTGGTGGCGGTGGGTGGTGGGTGGGGTACTGCTCGTCGCCCACGCCTCGTCGGCCGGAGAGGGCATGGACGGGGCTGCACGGGACGACGTGTCACTCGGGGGTATTGGTGGGGGCCGGTGCGAACCCAGGCATGCCCGCTGCAGAGGCTGCTGGTGGTGCGGGTGGTGCGAATGCGGGTGCAGCCGCTCCCTGTGGTGCTGGCGGGGTCGGTGAAGGGAAGAGCATGGCCGGCGGTCCTTAGCCCCCTCCCCTGAGCGACGAAGCCCTCGGCAGCGGGGCGCTCGCCTCCGATGACTGTTGCTGTTGTGCGGGTGGCAGTTGGATGATGCTGGCCTCCCTGGGCACCTCACGCGGCGACACCGAGGGGCAGCTCGACCGGCCTGACACACACGAGAGAAACAAGCGGCAGAGAGACGGTTCATGGGATGGCGGTCTGGATGAGTGTGCGTGTCTGTGTCTGACTTACTCAAAGTTTTCTTGCTGTGGGTCCAGTGTGGGATGGGTAGTTGTTTGGGGAGCTCCTCTCGGGGCTGCTCCACCTGCACCTGAGCCGACAGGGGCTGCTCCTCCATGCCGGAGGATGGCGGGGCCGGCGCGACAGCTCCCTCAGCCACCTCCTTGCCCTCCTGGATGAGGATTTGCTCCTGCTGCTGCGCCGCCTTCTCCTGCTTCTTGTGTGTGAGTGTGCGGAGGAACTTCTGGTCTGCGGCCTGCACAGCGCGGTACTTGTCGCCCTGCTTGAGGAGGGAGTAGAGGGCGACCTTGAGGGAGGCGATGGTGTCAGAGCGGGGCCGTATCTTGTGGAGGATCTTGGGGCTCCGGTGGCCCCGCACCAACACGTCCTGCTTCAGCTGGTCCTCCTGCCACACCACACCCAGCTGGTTCTCGCGAGAGAGGTGGTGGGAGGAGGTGACGGTGACGTCGAACCGACGCCGGGGGGACCCATCGTCGTCCTCCTCGCGGGCGCACTTGCTCAGCAACAGCGGGTCCAACATGCGCACCGCACCTCCCTGATCGACACGAAAGACAAAGGAGGGAGAAGCTTGTTTGTGTGCTGTGTTCGTTTCCCCATCGCTGTGTGGTGTGCGTACCGTCCTGGCTCTCGTCGGCGCTTTCGTCGCCTCGTTGGCGGCGTCCTTATTGCTACCCTGCCCCACACAAACGCTGCATACACAGACACAGACCGGCACCCATCAGATCAGCTCGTCATTGTCCCGTCTCGCCCTCCCTCCCTCCCACGTGTGCCTTACGTGTCCGTCTGGTTGAATTCTCGTCATCGCTATAATCCTTGATCTCGATGCGCATGTCCCCTGCACCCCCTCGCTGCCCGCGCGCGCCCCTTTGTCCCTTCCACGCATCGCTACGGCACGCCCTTAACGCCAGAGGCTCAGAGGGATGGTACTCGGCCGGCAGAGAGACAGATGGGGGCTTGGCGTCCTTCAACCAAGACGAAGACGCCGCCGCTGCGGCAGCGGCCTGCTCACATGAGCCTGAGGAAGGAAATGACACAAAATCGGGATGCGAATACATTCACTTATCATGTGTGTCTCCTTGTCGCCTCTCTCACCGGCAGCAGCAGCAGCAGGAGCGTCTTTGTCCTCCTTGCGCGGCTTGTCCCCTCCCCGTTCCTTGGCGCTGCCAGCACTCCTGGTCTTCTTGGACGCACGGCCGTCCAACCCGCTGCACGACGGGACCCCGCCCTCCCCACTTGGCTCGACGCCCTCAGCCTGTGGTTTGGGGGGTGCGGTGGGCGGTGACTGGGAGAGTGACGGCTCGTGTGGTTGTTTGGCGGCCTCATTCTTCTTCCCGCCCTTCTTTCCCTTGCCCTCAGGGATGAAGCGCTGCAATGGTCGTCGGCGTCGAAGTCGGGGCTCCATGTGGGGATGGGATGATGGGCCAGCTGTTGTCGTCGCCCTTGGAGAAGAACCAGTGGTCGGTCTTCTCACAGTACGACCACCTGCAGCACCCACACCACACAACACACACCACGAGACGAGAGCCAGCATTCACCCATGTGTGTGTCGGCTGTGCAGTGCATATCCCATCAGGACTGTCTCTGCTGCCCACCTGAGCTGCTCTCCCTCCTTGATGGTTTTGACGGGCGTGATGGCACAGCAGTAGTCCCCATGCACGCTACCCGCCACCTCGACCGGCAATACAGGTGTCTGGGCACCCACACCCTCGCGCAGTTGGCCCTGGGCACCCACTCGGGCGCGGCGCACTGGTGTCGATGGTGTCGTGGTTGATGGACACTGCAGGCAGCCAGATGCGAGCAGATGCTGTCGCCGAATAGCACCGGTTTGGCCTCCGCCCTCGCCCCGGCGGCTTTGTCCTGCCTGTTCTGCTCCTCCTGGCCGAATGTGGGCTTGTGTGACGGCTTGCTGGAGCCGTCGCGGTGTCCGGACCCGTTCGACACGAGGCTGAGGTGTCCAGGCCAGTCGACGTTGGCGATCTCGGCGCTGCATGGGATGGACATGCTGAAGCACTTGTCCCGCTCGGCCTCGAGGTCCGACTCGAGCTGGATCTTGCCCCCATAGGGCAGCAGGAGGCCCTGGAGCATCCTGCTGCGGATGTCCTCGGTGTACTGGGCCGACCTGCTGTTGGGGACGGACGGGCCAGCCCAGGAGTCCCGCCGCGCGACGATCTTCTTCTCCTTGCTTGGACGGTGTGAGGGGGGGGAGGGCCGGGTGCCCGGCTCCAGCTGCCAGATGTGGCCGTGCAGTGCATGCGCTGGTAGTTCCAGCTGAAGATCTGCTCGTCGGTCTCGAGACGCACGGCGCGGTAGGACGGCAGCAGAAGCGGTCCAGCAGGAAGAAGAGGGACAGGTAGGCCTCCGCCTGGGTGCGCAGCAAAATGGTCGACTTGAACAGGACATGGTCCTCATCCAAACCTATGCAAGAGCCACACACCGAAGGGAAAGGTGCATGTGATGTGTGAGCTGAGGTTTCTCTCCCTGTGCGTGTGTGTGGGTGTGGGTGTTTGCTTTGCTTACCGACGAATATCATCGTCGACCTCTACGTTGACCTGGTTCTCCCGCCTCTTCCTCAGCTGGACACACACGCGGCCCCGGCACTGAAAGTCAGCTGCCTCCACATACGACGCCCTCCCACCCCACCCTCAGGCACCCACAACCCGCCCAACAACTCAGTCCAAGTAGCAAGCATGACACTAACGACACAAATGGGAGACTTCATGGCAGTAAATCACAGTCAAGGCACCCACTCTTGCAGCCATACCAGTAGGAGTAGTGGGACAAATGTATGCAATGCAATTCAAGAGCTGTGAGAGCAACGTGGTGTGAGCGCTGACGCCACCGTGCTAAAGCAGAAATCCCAGGCTAGACATTCACACAACACGCACGCACCCCCCACCCTCCCCCGCCGCCCCTTAATGGCGGCCGAAGAAGAAGTCCCCCCACCCCTCCCACCACTCCCCCCACGACCGTTGCTGCTGCTGCTGGCGCCTCATCGCCGCCTCCCGGGCCTCCCATGGTGGGAGGACCCATGACGGGGGTCCCGGGTGGGGCAGTAGCAGTGGAGGTGGCGGTGCGTGGTGACCGGCAATCATGGCTTGGAGCATGTGAGGTGGTACTGGTGCTGGTGCGGGGTGGTGGGGGAAGGGCATCGGCATCGGCGTGCCATGTGCTGGGTGGTAGAACATATACACAGGCGGCGCAGCAGAGGCCACAGGCGCCGCTGCAGGGGCAGCGTATGCTGCAGGTGCCTGGGACGCACCACGAGAAACCACACACAGGTCAAGAAACTCGTTGTATGTATCTTTCTCTTTCATGTTCTCACCTGCGGTGTGAGGTGGCCCACTCGCCGACGGCTGCTGAGCCTGAGCCGCTCCCGGCGCACCGCCCTTGCGATTCTGAGAGGCCGTCGACGCACAGGCAAGGGTGAGCCCCCGTGGCGCGAGCCCATCAGACGGGGATGAGGTCAAAGGGGCCGAAAAGGGGGAGAGGGACATTGCTGCTCGGTCCGGGGCGGGCACTGGCGATGCGAGTGAGGGCTCAGGGGGCGTGAGGGATGGCCTCGGGAGGGCCACTGGCAGCAGGGGTGGGGGCAACCCTGATGCAGCTAGCTGGGGGCCTTCATCGCTGTCGTTTCGCGAGATGGAGGCCGGTGCTGGAGGGGCCGGCTCCTCTGCCAGCTCTGCGGGCGCCACAGCAGCAGCAATGTCCGCAGCTGGCTTCTCTGGCATCTCAGCCTTCGTTGCAGCCGTTTTCTCCTTCGCTCGCTGCTTCAGGGCGGCCTGTGCAGTGGCCCGCCACCAGCAGCTTACACCACGACGGAGCTCGGCGTGCTCGATTGGGCGAATGCGGTCAAGGACGTTTCGCTGCTTCGCGCGTGCCGCAGCTGTCTTGCGCCAGGCGTGGAGTAGCTTGTGCGTCAGCTGGCGGGCCGCCCTCCGACGGTTCGCTGCAACGCGCCAGATTATCAAGTGGCGACGGAGAGCAGCAGAGCTTCGGGCCACCTGACATGCAAAGATAAGGCAAAGATATGGCGCACAGTTGTGTGTTGTGTCCCTCGCTGGTTTGCCTCGCTCACTGACCTGGTGCCACTTCTGAAGCGCCTGCCTGAGGACGGCCAGCTGCACGGTCGCCTGCAGCCTCTGCGCCGCCTGGCGCCACGCAATCGGTTTCTTCAGTTCTGGCATGGCGAGCTGGTACGAGTGAAGTCGGATGGCATGGGCCTTGGGCTGCTGGTGGATGGAGGGAGCGTTGAGGTTGCCGAACGCTGCTGTGGGGAGAACGGTGGGGTGCGGCGGAACAGGGGCAGGGTGGTGCTGCATCGGGGGCTGCTGGGGGGCCATGGGGGAGTGGGGAGAGGGCGCTGCAACATGCCACGCACGCAGCCATAGACCGAGCGAGTATGAGTGTGTGTATCGTATCGGCGTGTCTGTCAGTGTACCTACCCAATTTCTGTTCTGCCGGGGTGGGACTCCCTTCCTCACTGCAGCCCGAAAAGTTGCCGAAGCCATCACTTCTCTGAGGGCTGTACGGCGTCGTGGTGGCGGCGGGGCCGTGGCCCAGGGAGCTGAGGGCCTCCTGGCGCTCCTTGAACGCGGTGGCCTCGTCGGAGATGGCGCGCAGTTCCGTCAAGATCTCCGAAAACGGCGGCCGCGGGTCCTCAGGCACCATGATACATCTGACACAGAAATGGCGACCGACACAGTGAGCCTTCCTTCACTCACTCATCCGTGTCGCCATCCACTCCACTGACCTGAGCGCGAGGTTGGCCACCTTCCTTGCGAACTCCAGCGGCCACTGGGCGCGCCGGTCGAGCATGCACATGAGTCGGTCGATGTCGTGGTTGAACTCATTGACGAGGTAGTCGACTTCCTTGGTGCCCGGCCGCTGTGTGCCGGGGGGGCGGGCCGTCAGCAACTCAACCAACACCATGCCAAACGAATACACCTCCGTGTACTCAGCCACAACAGCACTGCACAGCACGGTCACCGAACCGACACACAAACCAGCACGAGAAAGGCAGAAAAGGATGCAATCGCAGGGGGGGAGATGGGTCTGTGTGTGTGTGTCGCTCTGCTGGATGGATGCTCACCGCTTGATGTACAGCGGATCGGCGTAGCCCGCAGTGCCAGTCACCTGCTGCACACGGCAATCTGCACACGCACCGACAACAAAAGCACATGCATGTGTGACTTTGTGACTGACCAGCAAAATGTGTGATGTGTCTGTCCCGCTCACCCTCTCCGCCCTGCGATATCTTGGCCATTCCAAAATCCGCCATCTTGGCGCCGTCATTCTTGTCCAGCAGGATGTTGGCCGTCTTGATGTCACGGTGGTACACCTTGGGGTGCGAGTTGTGCAGGTGGTGCAGCCCCTCACACGCGTCAACCGCGATCTCAATCCGTTGATACCACAGCAACGGCTTGGTGCCTGCACACAGACAGAGAGACAGACAGGTGTGGC